CAGCATGCAGCCAGTGCCCGAATGCCAAATGCGTGGGCAGGCCCTTTCCTATATGGAAGTGGCCTGCTTGCTTGCGTGCAGCCTGGCTGCGCTGGCCCCCTGCCCACAGGGCCTGGGCCTGTGGTGGTTGCCCTTGTTAAACTGCCCGCGGCCTGTGTTCGGTCCATGTTGCGAATCTGGCCGAGGGCCTGCCTTGGTTACATTCGAAAGAGGCAGCCTGGGCCTGGGCGCTTTCAACCAACTGGCACTGCGCAACTGCCTGAAATTACCCAGTTGAGTGGTGACCCCAAAAATAGGCCTTTAGGCCCTGGGTCGAGCCTGCCTTCACTCAGGTCAGCCGACTGTACAGAAAACAGGGCCCAGTAGGACAGATCGAGGCCTTGAGCCTCGCACATATTGTGAAATTTGTGTGTAGACGAGCCCTTTTTTGGCAAAATTTCATAATGTGAGCTGTCATATGAAGTAGCATGTTACGAAGGGAAAAAGAAAAGAAAAGGAAGGGTACTGGGGTTTGATCATCCTCAGTGAACATATACCCACAGTGGCTATAAAAGTGGCCAGATGCATCCAGGAGAGTGCCATGAGAGAATATAAAATGAGGACCAGGGACACCCGATGATGATTTACCGCAGCACGCCCCGAGATCTAAATTTACTATTTACCATTTAAGCCCAGATGGGTACACAAAATAAAATGTTGACTTCACCACATGAAAAAAACTCTTTCAAATTCAAAGACATGCCTGTTGTATAACTTCGCACAAACCACTACAAAAAAAAAAAAAATAGTAAAAATAAATAAAAAGTGAAAAGGATGTTGGTCGTATGCAACGAGTGCTGGACGAGAAGGATTCTTTGGGTTGAACCGAGTGCATTGCATGTCGGCTGTGTCCGAGATGTTTACACGGGGGAAGCAAGGCCTAATAGTGCAGGTTAAGGACTGCCAGGCATGCGAATAGGGGAATTTGTTGAGGCTTAGTGCAGGGGGGATCATAGGGGAGGCGAAGCTGCATAGATAAAAACTATCACTACAGTATGTAGTGGGGTTGGGGACTTAGATGAAACGTTGGGGACCGCAGGTAAATATGTGCAAGCGTAGAAACTGAACCGAATTGACACGGCTACTGCATTGAAGTAGCAACATGACATGACTTGCGTTGACGCACCACAGGCGAAGGCCATTGGGACACAAACACCCCTGAGCGACTGAGTACGAGGAGCGTCTCCCGGCTAGGGGCGCCTGTGAGCCTGACTGCCTTGCTGCCTCCTGCATTGCGTCAATATGCTCTGACTGCTCTTGGCGTGTAGTACCAGCGCAGAGCCGTCCTTCTTCTATCATTTCTGTTTTCATGCCACCTGTTGTCTGGTGACGTGGAAGTCCTATGACATGTGAAGAGGGGAAGCGACCGGCCGTGCGAATCGAAGGTTCAAGCAGCAACAGTGGTGCAGTTTTAGGGCAAGTGATGGTCTCGACAGAAGAGTTACAACATGGAGCGGAGGAGTGGCTGGTTAACTTTGAGGAGGGATGTAGGCGGTTGTGGGTGATTGTGGGGGGGTTGTCTTCGCAATGGCAGAAGGCGTCAGAGGTTGAAAGGAGGTCCATCGTCCCCTTATCTGCAACTTCAACAAAAGGGAAACTGGACTAGGAAATGGCAAACAGAAATAAAGGAACAGCTAAGCAATGAACCCAGGTCATGAATACGTTTGTCAACAATGCAAGTCCAGGATCTGAAATCGATGATAATTTCCAATAATCGAATAGTGTCCAGAAAGAAGGAGGTGAGATAACCATACACAGATGAAGAGGGAGGAGGGAGATGAGGCAAAGGAGAGGAAGATACAAGGCCCACTCCTTCTCCGGGCTCCCTACACAATCGCCACCTCACAGAACCAGTAATCTGAACACATAGTCGAAGTCCTTCTACAATGTGCCACGTGGCACCTAATCAGTCCCCAATCAGCGCTGGCACAATGTCAACATGAAGATCACAGGTACGTATCCACAACCTCCACACAGTCCTGATCTCCTCCTGAAGTGACGATGAACAGTCCTGATCTCTTCCTGAAGTGCCAAAGTGAAGAACAGCAGAGCCAGTCACAAAGACCCGGCTACATGACACGTGGCAGCAGCCACGTCAGCAGCAACGCGTGGCAGCTGCCACGTCAACATGCCTCATAGACAGTAGCCAGCCAGTCACCATACCAGCCAGCAGCGCGTCGCCACAGTCTCACCAATGCCAGCACTATGCCAGCATCCACCAGCGTCGCAGCGTCAAGCCGGCGTCGCGTCATCAACGCGTAAAGTCAGCGTCAACGCAAGACAGAATGAATGACTGTCAAAGCCAGGAAGTCAACTCTTATGAAGTGTTGATGCGGGGTCTGGACCCCGGATGCTGTATTCCTCGGCCGTACAGATCTCAATGCGAATGAGGGCTCAGATCGACCTGAAACCGAATCCCTCCGGCCTGGATGCTGTCTGGGTACCTGCGCACAACAAGTGAGTGTATCCAACCCAGGGCCTGGGTGCGGTACCTTTGACTCTACAGTTGACTTTGACTCTTGAATTTCCTGCGTGCAGCGTTCGGTCACACAGCCACACACGACAGACTCANGCCACACACGACAGACTCATGCCTGGGCGTGTCTTGGTCACACAGCCCAGCGCAGACCTTCTCAGGTCTGCGTGGCCTGGGGCTGAGTTCTGGGCTCCAGGCTACTTTTGAACAGGGTTACTGCATACTGAACCCCAGGAGGTAAAACCAGACTATTCTTGTCCCCTTAACCCCCTTTTTTTTTTTTTCCTGTGTCTACGACTCTACACTGTCCCTCCCTCTCCCTGTCCCGAACCCTTCTCCTTAAACCCTAAAACCCTACGCTTATTGATGCTATTTTTCCCTCGCCTCCTGACTCCTTAAATCTGTTGTTGCTCTTCTTTCCCTTTACCGTCACCACTTCATCCGCTCTGTCTCCACTGAAATACGAGGCCTGAGGCCTGGATAGTTGCTGCTTTGCCATTCCCCAGAATTCTCAATCAAACCTGTCTTTCAATTCCTGTTCTTGGTCCGGTTGCTGTCTCATCTGCCTCTGTGCTCTTTTCCACTGTGCCCGGACGTTGGTTTCCAATAGATTTAGGAGGACCTGTCCTTCTTCCTGCCTGTGCACCGTCCTCCTTTCTTTCCCAGAACCCTGCCCCCCCCCTGTGTCCTAGATACTACCGCTACTTAAAATCGGAGGTTTCTCCGGGA